CCCTCTCGAATTTAAAACTGAGCTTTGTTGGGTATAGTAGCCTTGGTTGGCAGTTGTTAGAACTTGGAATATCTTATTCCAGGACCTCCTTGATATTAGAGTCTGAACTGAGAAATCAGGAGTGAGCCTTATAGGTTTAACTGTAAATGTGACCTTATGTTTCTCTCTTGTGGCTTTAATATTCTTTCCTTATTTTCTATCTTAAGCATTTTGAATATGTCTTGGCAAACTTCTCATTTGACCAGGTTTGTTTGGGGCCCTGTAAGCTTCCTGTATGTGGATGTCTATCTCCTTTCTGATAAAGAAATTTTCTGTAAATATTTCATTGAAAATATTCTTTATGCCTATAGTTTGTATCTTCATATTCTCTTTTATCCCAATAATTCTCAGTTTAGTCTTTTAATGTCCCAGAGTTCTTGTATATTATGGTCTTATTCTATATTTCCCCCTCTATATTGCATCTGTGTACTCAAGATCATATACCCTGTCTTCAGGGCCTGATATTCTGTCTTCAAGGGCTGAGGTTCTAGTTTTTACATATTCTAATCTGCTAATGGTGTCTTCAAGTGAGATTTCATTTCAGTATGTCCTTCATTTCTAGAAGTACTTCTTTTCACTATTTCTGTCTCTTTATTAAAGTGATCTTTCATCTCCTGTAATTGCTCTCTTAATTCCTTTCTTAGATCTTTTTTTAATTCATTGAACATTTTGATAATCAATTTTTTAAGTAATATTTTTTTGGTTTTTCATCCACCTCTATATCAGTCAGATCATTTATTGGGGGATTGTGGATTTTGGGGGAATATTTGTTTTCTCTTTCCTCATGTTTTCAGAGGTCTTGAACTTGTGCATCAGTTGAGGTGGATTTCCCTACTTTTTTTTTTTTTTTTTTGGCATATGTCCGTTTGTGTGAAATTATCTTATTTGTTCTGGGACCTTTCTCTAGTTTTGATGTATGAGTAGATGCCAAGGGGTGACATCTGATGGTTTCTCCTTGGGTCCTTGTTGTTGGTTGGGGTTTTTGTCTCCTCACTTCTTTGAGTTTCAATAATGTCAGGAAATGTTTAGTTCATCCACAGAGTCTCTAACCTGTAAACTTTTAGTGTCTCTGTAGGTTCCCAGAATCTCACAGAGTGGAGCAAAATAAACAATAGTAGCAACTGTTGCAAACAATACGTAGCATTAAAGTAAATACCCAGTTCCTACTGTGACGTCTTCAACATTAATTACCACCAATAAACAGGAATGGTGGGTTTAGCAATTGTCAACAATAAAAACAATAACCAGGAACTAACTAGATCTGGCTTTGAAGCAAACAGCAGGTGTTAACTGTATCATCCACAGCAGTAATGATTGTTTTAGCATTAATGGTGGGGGGCAGGAGTTATATGAACCAATTACTTCTGGAAGATAGCAAAAAAAGCACAGTTAATTAGGGGAAAAGAAAATGTGTTAGGAAGTTAGAAAAGAGTTTACAATATCAAGAAGTGAACAGAGAGAATGCAGAAGAAATGTAGTTGCTGATGTTTATGCCGAAGGAGGGGAAAAATAGAGGAAGCAAAGTATTGGGGGAGAGAGAGAACAATAAAATTTGGCCATTGCCAGGAGAAGATAAGAACAAGAGAAATAAATGCTAGGAAAATAAATGCTAAGAAAAATGATTACATTAAAATGCTAAAAATGAGAGAATAAGAAGCAAATAAGTCTATCTATATATGTACCTGAACCAATCAGCACAGTAAGAATTCATATGTGTGTGCAAGCTCACATGGAAAGAATAAAAAAGAAATCTTAGTGTACACTGTTGCTGCTGTGACTTGACTTGAGAATGAAGGAACCACTCCACTGAGGTGGTCAAAATAGTTGACTATATTGGGTGGTCACTGTCTATGTGACCACCAAGTTTTTCTTTCCAATTCTTCTTAAATTATGTACAGATAGAACAAAGGGTGGGGATTGTTAACATCTTCCTGTTTTTGTTTTGTTCTCTGAGCTGCCAGTTGGAGTGGCCTAAGATTGAAGCTGTTTGATATAAGACTCAGCTTCCCTTCTTACCATTACGAGGTGGGATGGGTTAGGGCATACTGTCATTTGGCTTCTGCAGCATTCTGTGAGGGGAGTTCCAACTGGTGGGGCTTAGGTCTAATCAGGCCTCAGGGGCTTTTTTTGGGTGGTGCCTGCTTTGGAGAGATTAAATCAACCCAGCCCTAGGGCTAGACAGGAGCCAATTTCTGATGCAGGTCTGATTCTCAGGAGTCTTTCAAGAAATCCAGTGGTGTGGGGGGAGGTCTGGCTGATCCTCCACTCAGTGTGGTCCTGGAGCACAGCCTTCCCACACTTAGTTCCTGAGTGCAATCACCTCCACCTGCTCAGATTCTGGTCACTTCAGCTGATTATGTGAGCCACCAGATACAAGGAGAAGCAAGTTAGGCTCCCCTTTCCCCTCCCAACTTAAATCCTCCTGGGTACAGTCTATTCAATGCCTGTTTCACCAGGCACAGCCTAGGTCACACTCTAGATGACCGCCCCTGCCTGCCTGGATAATGTGGCAGTTTTTTTTTTTTTTTTTTTCTTTCTGATCTTCTGAGTTTCTCAGTTGCTGCTGTGACTTGATTTGTGGGCCTCAGCTCTCTGCAGTCAGTTGAGATATAAAGCACAGTGTTCAAGTACCAATGTCTCATCCCATTACTAAACACTTCAGGTCACTCCAGGTAAACTGAGCTGGCATGAAATAATCACACAGAGACAGAGAAATACCTTTTTCTTTGGGTCTGTGATGGCCCCTCTGACCTCAGGGGTCCATGGAAAGAGAGGGAAAGAGAAGCACATGCTGAGCCCTTTTATTGGGGAGAAGCCATTCAAATGAGGCAAGGGGTCAGGTTTCAGGGGGGTTGAGTCTAGCTAGTGATGTGTGCTATCAGCAGATTGACTGACATTTAGGAAGGCCGTGCCCATCTCGAGTTGTGTGAGGGTCATGAGTGAAAAGACCAGAGTGAGGCCCGCCCAAACAGAGGGGTGATGTCAGTTCAGTCACTTTGTGTGCTCACTGCTCATAGTTCACACACACACACAGCCCATGGCTGACTTGCCACATTCTCATCGCTCAAGATTAAAGGGCGTTTGGTTCCTTTGTGGCAGCTCCCGACAGACCAGGGCACAGTGCTGCATCTGGATCAGCTAATATTAGGCAGAATTTTTGATCTCAGGCTTTTCCATATTAAATCTGTTCCTCCTCCCTTTATTCGTGGTGAATCTGCACCAGCAGTGCCTGTGAGGCAGCCACATTGGCTTTGATGTATTCTTTCTTCTTTGCTTATTGTACCCAAATTTCAGAGTCCCTAAACCACTGTTTTATTGAATTTTAGTGAAATCCCTCTTTCATTACCTCACTGAGAAGGTGTATGCCTGCTGTTTTGGTTCTGAGTTATAGCACCGCTTGGAATGCAGCTTCTTTCTACTCCACCATCTTCTGTTCCCTGACTTAAGATCAATGGAGTTATTTTTTTTCTCTTTTTTAAAAATTTATTTATTCAAATTTGTTATACATACAGCAGAATGCATTTCAATTCATAGTACACATACAGAGCACAATTTTTCATGTCTAGTTGTACACAAAGTAGAGTCACACCATTCATGTCTTCATACATGTACTTAGGGTAACGATGTCCCTCTCATTCCACCATTTTTCCTACCCCTTGCCCTCTCCCATCCCCTCTCTCCCCTTTGCCCTATCTAAAGTTCCAATGGAGTTATTTTTAAACAATGCAGATTTTTAGGCCCACCTCAAGACTATTCAATCTTAATTTCTGAACAGAAGGTCAAGGCAATCTGGATGTCAGGGAATTCTGGTGCCAGTGGGAGGGATATGGGAAACACAGCAATTTCCTTTTAAAAATATTATTCTGTACTAATTTTAAATTGAACATAAAAGTTGTACATATTATAGGGAACCATGTGATATTTTAATGATGCATACATTAATCCCAATGTCCTTCTTAGAAGGACCATGGGAGAAAGTTCTCTCTAGTCTCAATTCTAGCACCAGAGGCCATACTTCTTGGCAAACTCTTTATTTTGTTCTGGATACCATAATTCATATAGCTGATTGTATTCTTCATTTTTGCACTGGCTAAAGCATAGAACCAAATGTGAATCTTGCTAACAAATGTATAGGAAGAAACTTAATTGCACTCTGAGTGCCACATGAGCATTTCTGCCTTCCTCTCCTCTTTTGTACTCTCATTTCCCCTTTGCCCCAATATTGTTGCCAATTTTTTTTTTTACCAATTTATTTTTAAGTCTACATTTTATTTTGTTGCGGGTATTTTTGTACATTGCATTAACACTTTCTGGAACAAAATGTGACATAAATAATACTACTCAAATATTTGTATAAAACTTGATTTTTAAAATTTTTAAAATTTGTTCTAGATAGTTATATATGACAGCAGAATGCATTTCAGTTCATTTTACACAAATTGAGTGCAAATTTTCATTTCTCTGGTTGTACATGATGTAGAATTGCACCATATGTGCAGTCATACATGGACCTAGAGTATAATGATATTTCTTGAGTTGGGTATTTGTATTTACTATTTATGATTTTAAAAATACAACTTAGGATAACCAAACTCATAAATGCTTAAAGTAGAACAATGGTTGCCAGGGACTGAGGGTGAGGAAAATGAGGAATTGTTATTCACCTGGTATAAAGTTTCAGTTTCACAAGATGAAACTTATGGACATGTATTGTAAATGATTGTGCTTATATTTAATAATACTCTATTGTACAACTGAAAATCTGTTAAAATGGTAGATTTCATGTTAAGTATTCTTACAACAATTATAAAACACTGGATAATTTAGCACAATTCAGCAGAAATCACAACATAAACCTGTTTAAGGTGGTAGCATTACTGTCTTGTTTAGTTACCTTATTGTCCTTTGGGGAGTGTGGGTGTAATAGGTTTGGAAATTACTTTATACCCATAAAAGACAAATGAAGAATCTTCTAAATTTTATTTAGGATGAAATCAGCATGGTAAAAATACATTAGTGATGTGCATGAAAAAGAGCTTCATTCCTTAACAGAATAAGTCTTCCAGGTACAGAAATGTACCCCAACTTAGCTCTTTTGTACCTGTATCCACATACATCTGAAGATAATGTTGATCTGTGAGCACATGACAAAACAGAGCAAGTAACTGGAAGATCCAAGAAAATTATTTACAGTCTCAATCGAGGTGGGGCAAGGTTGTTTTTGATCCAAGCCTGATATTTCTTAGTTAACAGAGTGTAGATTCCAGGCTTATTGGCAATGCCACATTTGTGACCTCCAGAGGCAATGGCATGGAAGATACCTTTGCAGACCAAGGGGCCACCTGAGTCACCCTGGAAAGAAGGAAATGTGGTGAGAAGCTATTGAAGTTTTTGTTTTTTTTTAAACCAATTGTTGACTGCCCAACGTATTCTTTTTTTTAATTGATTTTTTTTTTTTTAAAATGACAGTGGAATGCATTACAATTCTTTTTCTTTTTAAAGAGAGAGAGAGAGAGAGAGAGAGAGAGAGAGAGAATTTTTAAATATTTATTTATTTTTTTAGTTTTTGGTGGACACAACATCTCTATTTGTATGTGGTGCTGAGGATTGAACCCAGGCCGCACGCATGCCAGGCAAGTACGCTACCGCTTGAGCCACATCCCCAGCCCCTACAATTCTTATTACACTTATACAGCACAATTTTTCATATCTCTGGTTGTATATAAAGTATGTTGACACCAATTTGTGTCTTCATACATGGACTTTGGATAATGATGTCCATCACATTCCACCATCCTTGCTAATCCCCTGCCCCTCTCTTCCCCTCCCACCCTTTTGCGCTATCTAGAATTCATTTATTCCTCCCATGCTCCCCCTCCCTACCCCACTATAAGTCAGCCTCCTTATATCAGATAAAACATTCTTGCCCAACATATTCTAATCTGAGTATTTGGGTTCTCTGGGCCCTACAATTGCCTGACATAGCCTCTTACTCAGTATAGGTTCTCTATCTCTCTAGGACTGTGTTTTTGTCTCTTTGTCTCTGTTTTTCTATGATTATGACTTTGCCTCTATGTCTATACTATGTCTCTCTTTTTTCTCCATCTATGTCAATGTATACCTATATTCCTTGATAATCAGTGACTATTGAGTTTTATTTGTTGAGGAGTGGGTGGGTGGACATGAAGTTTGAAATAATCCACTGAAATAAAATAAATTTTCTAAATTGTGAATTTCATTTTGGTGCTCATGGACCTGAAATCCAGGTAACATTGAGGCCAGCAGAAAAGAGTGTTACAGTGCGGTAAATATCTAGATGGCAAGGACTGTCTTCTTCATTATTCTTTTGTATTCTCACATGGTTGAATATAGCACTATGGATATATACACTTGCTGAAAAAAATTATTTTTGAGGACTTACTCTAACAACAAAACATGCAACTGAATTCTGTCAGGAAAAGTGGGAGTTATAAAGAGGGTGGTGTGGCCTTTTAGACTAAGAGCTGGCTTTCAAATGTGAAGAACAGTCTCAGCCTAGGCTGTGGCCACATGGAAAACTGCTTGGCCTTGTCCACTGGTCAGCCATGATTACATGGTCAGGAGGCTCATGTTCTTAGAGTAGAACAGCTACATGGGATCTTTGAAGACATCATAACCCTCCATCCAATAATAATTAATATGGCAAATGTTGCATTCTAATTTTTAAAAAATTAATAATCCATCTGTGCTACATATTAGTCACCTGTAAACATGTATCCAATTTCTTCTTACCAATTTTATAAACAAAAGGTTTTGAAAAATATAATGAGTATTATTCCTTTTTGTTAATCAGTGTGATGGTCTCAATGTTTATGGCCTCTTCCCCTGGTCCTTAAACTCACATGTTGAAATTCTCACCCCTCAGAGTGATAGTATGAGGAAGTGGGGGTCTTTGGAAAGTCATAGGTCATGGAGCAGAAGCCCTCATGAATGGGATTAGGACCTTTTAAAAGAGGCCTGAGAGACACCCTTTATTGCTTCCACCATGTGTGGTTAAAGTGAAAATAAGACATCTAGGAAGCAGAAAGCAGCCCTCACCAAAACCCAAATCTGATGGCACCTTGGTTTGGACTTTCTAGTCCCCAGGACTGTGAAAATAGATTTCTGTTATTTATAAGCCACTCAGGTTATGTTGCAGGGTGTTCACAGTTATGTTGCTATAGCAGCCCAAGCAGCCTAAGGCAGTCAATATTATTTAAGAAACACATACTGTATATTTGAGCATTTTGCACTTGAGTCTTATAAGACCTCCACATTGATTGATTTAAAAGATTTTTTGTTTGTTTTGCTTTTGAAGTGGAGGGTGAGTTATCTTCATCTTCTAATCACCACTCATGACCTCAGGGTTGATGGATGTTCTCAGGATGCTAGCACCCCTCATAAGTGGCCTGTTGTTATGGTTTGGATGTGAGGTGTCCCCAAAAAGCTTATGTGTGAGACAATGCAAAAAGGTTCAGAGGATAAGTGATTGGGTTGTGAAAGTCTTAACCCAATCAGTGAATTAATCCCTTGATAGGGATTAACTGAAGTGGCAGGGTGTGGCTGGAGGTGGGAATTGGGGCAGCGTGGCTTTGGGGTATATACATTTTGTATCTGGAGAGTGGAATCTCTCTCTGCTTTCTTATCAACATGTATTCTGCTTCCCTCCACCGCTGTCTCCCATGTTCAGCCTCACCTCAAGCCCTGAGGAATGGACTAAGGGCTTCTATGAACTAAGACCTCTGAAACCATGAGCCCTCAAATAAACTTTTCCTCCTCTACAATTGTTCTGGTCAGATCTTTTAGTCACAGCAGTGAAATAACTGACTAAAACACCTGTAAAAATTGTCAGATACAGTCTACTTTCCTGATTAACAATTTAATGAGTGTTTATTAAGCATTGGGGAAAGTTCTTCCCATTCAAATTGGCATATGTGAAAGAACAGAGGGTAGAAATGAAGAGTACATTTCTAGAAGTGCGGCTTTGTGTTCTCCAGGCCTCCCCTCAGTGCTAGTAGGCACACAGTCTTGACTGCAGTACTCTGGAGATGCCTGTCTGAATGAGAGACTCTTACCTGGCAGGAATCCTTATTGCCTTTGGTGTCTCCTGCGCATATCATGTCTTTGGTTATAATAGGATTGTGGTTGTAATAATTTTGGCTGTTACAAAGTTTTCGATCTATGATGGTAACAGTGACTTCCTGAAGGGTATCAGAGATGCTGAAAACTTTTGAGTCAGTGGTTCCCCAACCAGTAACCTGGCATTTGGTGCCAGATCTAATATAGTTTGTGGATCTTGGGTGGAGCAACTGGACATGCTTGTTGAGGTTTGCGGCCCTGTGAAGCTGACAGAAAAAAAGTGAATGAATCATCGTTCTTTCCCAGCAGTATTCTGCTATTAGCCTGTGCATTGAATGTGTGGTCCCTCTGTCTTAGAAGGGCATCCCTTCTTCTTGAATCTACTTTGGTGGTAGCCTGCAGCTGCATTTGTGGTTGTTACTTTCCTGAACATGCTTTCTATTCCCTGTGGAATTTACTGATGCTCAGGGAATTTTGCCCAGTCTCAAGCAAGTGGCCTTTGCCCTGCCTTGGATGGATTTCTGTGAAATAACATTCAGGGGTCATGACTTTGAGGGCTGGGCTGTTTTCTGCTGAATAGGACCCTTGAGTATGGTCTAGACCAAATTTGGATTAGACAAAGTATGGTCTAGACTAAGCTGTAACTCACTTCTGAGTCCATGAAGTCACTTGGTTGGCTCTTGTATAAATGACTGTTGATTTTCCAATTGTTCATGAGAAAAGCATTTGAGAAAAAGCTTTTATTGTGAATCCTTGGGCTTGTGGGGATGTTCCTCTCTTACATATGGAGATTCAGAGTTGGCTTTCCTCATGTAACTGCATCCCTGACCTATTCTTTTAAGGTGATGAATAGAATAACATGAGTCCTTACAGAATTTATCATGATTACCTCAAATATGGGAAGGGTACTATCAGAGTGCTTCCTTGTAGATCCTTCAATTAACTGAACTATACTGTATAAGAATGTTGGAGAAATTGATGCAGACAATGATACATACCTTTACTAGCATGATGTCATTTGATTTAGAATTTGATCTAAGTCTTGAAAATGGTATGAATTTTTTAATCTCAAATGTTTGTTTGGAGGGCTCATTCTTTGACAGAGAATGTGCTCCTAAAACCACTGTGGGAAATTGGCCTTTGACCAACCTATAAAAGAAAGCAGAGAATGGCAGTAACAGAATGATTTCCAAATCCTCCGATGGGGAGCAGAGATGGCAGAGAGAGTCATAGACACAAAACCAAGCACATATTCCAGTATAACCTGTTTAGGATTGGGTAGAGTAACAGAGGTATCAATGGATTCCATCATGAATGAAAGACATCAAGAGCCAAATGATATGCCTGCAACCCCATTCTAGTCCAATTCCCCAGCGTTGTTAAAGAATATCAGAACTTGGACCTGATTGTGAGAAAAAAACTAGTGAGTTCCTGATTGACTTAGAGCAAGTTAACAATAAAATTGTGTTCATTTATGTAAAAATGAAGGACATTATACATCTTGAGTTTGTGGTTTGAGATTTATGCCAACATAAAAAAATAAGGGATTTTTTATTGTGCCAATATATACACATATATCAAAATATCTCATTTTAGCCATTTAAAAATATATAAATGATTTATACATAAAAATATGTGTGTATGTGTATATATAGCTGTTTATCCACCACTATCATTCATCTATAGAAATTTTTACCCCAATACTGGAGATTGAACCCAGTATCCCTGTACCACTGTACTACATTCTCAGTTCTTTTTATTTTGAGACAGGGGCTCACTTAATTGCTAAGACTAGCCTTGAACCTGTGCTTCTCCTGCCTTAGACATCCAAGTTTCTGAGATTACAGGTATGCACAACCAAGCCCAGCTTCCACCCTCTTCCCATTATTAGGTGTTTAAATGATTAAGATAAAGACTCAGCTCTATCCATGTTCATCTCTATGTTGACATCTCATCTCAGGCATCAGGAGATCCAATACATGGCAGTCAAATATGCTCAAAAGTCCTGTCTTCGCAGTTAGAAACATGATTTGGATGAGAAAGAAAAACTTTCATCAAGGTGAAATACTTGCCTATTTGAAATGAAGATATCTTAAGACTAGTAGCAATTGGTGATTCCATTGTGGAGATTTATAGGGTACAGCCAGGGAGTCAGATTAAGAAACAAAGTTTTTTTTTGTTTTGCTTTTTGAAAAAAAAAATCTGATTGTACACAATTCTAATACTAGTTTCTGATTTACTTGTATGTTTTATAAAGTTATATTTATAGCCACTGGTGAAAATGGAAATGATTTAAAAATAGTTTTTGGTAACATCTCAGAGCCTTTGTATGCTACAGATACAGCCCCTTGCAATGTGCATCTTTTTGGAAGCCATCTTAAATCCTGTTTTGGTACAAGGAAGGTTATAAAAATAATTATATTTATTCATTTGCATATATTGATTTCTTTGCTATTTGAAAAGGGATCAAGAAATAAATCAGTGAAAACACATATACATACAGATTGCTAAATATTCATAAAATTAAGAAGGGCACCGAAACATACAGACAAAGGAAGAAATGACTGTTTCAGGTTGGGAGAATGTGCACATGACTCTGGTGGGAAGGATTTTGTACATGTAAGACCTGTGACTGCCTGGAATTACCACTTCTTGGTTTCTACCAAAAGAGTTTATTTTGGGAATTCCAGTTCTATTTGTTGAAAAGTTTGCCTATTGCAAAATCAGGATGGGTATGAAATTTCTCTTAGGATACAGATTGGATTTCTTAGGACTGATTCAAATTCAAATTCAACATACCCACTAACCCCAGAACTTTGGAGGGGAAGATGATATAAAATCCTCAGGATTAACACTCACAGAAAAGTGGGTATCTGCATAAACAACTCATACAAGGAAGGCTGTGAAGGACAAATCCTGAGTGTGGAAGATGGATTCTGATGAAGGGAGGGCTGTCAAGAAAATTTCTTGTTTTCTTTCATATTTTACTCATTTCCTTAACTAGCTATTGCTTTGGACATGTTTTGATTATTTTTGTCTCCACTGGGACAGGCTAAAACCAAAAACAACCCAAGCAGACCATTGTGCTTTCTGAACTTTCAATTTCTAGATACGTTTCAACTGTAGACTCTGTCCAACAAGGTCAATTTTTCTGTTCGTTGGATACCTGAAATTGCTTGAGTTGTAGGACTCCATTTCTTTAGCTAAACCTGGAATTCACATAGAGGAGAACTAATAATACAAGTGTTATTTATTTGAACAGTTTAGGATTTCTCCAAGAGTGGTCTTCAGAGCTGCATCAGAATCATCTGGAGCTGTTTGTTTAAAATGGAGTTTCCTGAATCTCACCCTGAACTTATCTGAAACAGAATTACACATAGAGCAGAGCCATAGTATTGCTTGTAACAATGTTTTTTCACCATCTGCTCACAATGTGGAAACACTGTCTCAATTGATCCTAACAATACCTTTCTTGGAGTTGTTAAAACTGTTGAGTGGTATATTCCTCGCTAGTAAAGGGGTGTTCTCTGACTGTTCTAAAGTGTCACATTGCATAACTGGGGGAATCAGGACCCCAGTCCAGCTTTTATGATTCCAATTCCAGTGCTCTTTCCTCAACTCCTCATTAAGTGCCATGCCAAGGCCCCGTCAAACCTCTTATTTCCTCTGTCAGCATGTCATGATGCTGAGAAGTACTTATGTTTAGACCCACTCCAGAGGCCTGGCAGCAAAGGCAGGGTTCCCATGTCTTGGAGGTCTCTCTTGCTTCAGAGACTTGAGATTTTCCCAGTCTCATCTCATGAATATAAACAGATCATCAGATTAGCCCCTTGATTATTGTCATGGAAGGCATAGATAATGATATAATAATACTTGATAATGTCTATTAAGGTCTTGTGTTCTGTGCTATTTTCCCTAGTGCCTCACAAGAGCCCCATGAGGTAGGTGATGATTCTCCACTTCATGATGAGGAATTTGAGGTTCAGACAAATTGACACATAGATATCAGGTGGAGGCTCCAGGCATCAGGAGTCAGTTGATTGGAAGCCAAAGTCATTTCACTTGGGGAGAGAGACTTGAGTGTTTGAGATGGAGTAAGACCCTGTAGAAGGTTCTGCCTAATAACATCCTGAGCAAGTGAGAGAGGGGGAAGCATGCAATGAAGGGTGGCATTAGAGGATACCTAGGAGGACAGTGGACAACAGCTGGTGAGAGTTTTGTTGCTAGTAAGTTAAAATGCTGAAGATGAGCGTATACAGAAAACCTTTTACCCATTTCCTTTTATATTTGACAGGGAACTGATAAAGGGGCTCAGGTACTAGGGGCTCAGGTACTAAGGAAGGAGCTGAATGGAGGGTGGTAAGAACAGAGCACTCCCAGATTTGGCCCATTTTGCTATTTTGCTGAGAGGGAGGCCCAAGGTTAGTAAACCATTCCCACAGGGTACGTGTGAGTACATTTGTGGGCAGCCACTATTGAACTATTTCATAAATATTTGGAATTTCATAAGCCTTAATATTTTTGTAAGCACTGATCTGCCTACATTTTTACACCCAAGTGTCCTGTAGAGGAAACTTGATCTACATATTTTGGAGTTCTTTATATGCTAGCTAGCCAACCATTTAAAATGATATTTAGCAATTTTTTTAAACTCCAGGATTTCTCTCCACTCTTTCTTAATTTTTTAAAAATAATCTCCCCCCTCCAAATTTGAGAATCCACTTCTCTTGAGTTAAGTCCACTTGACAAAACTGAAAATTCACTCAATATAGCACTTTATGGTTCTTCACACATCATGTTTCAGGCTTAACAAAAACCAAACCAAAACAAAACAAAAAATCCTCCAGTTTGTTTCCTTTTTTCCATCCAGAATTTGTTGAACATTTACAAGTTAAGCTCTGAGTAGGGAGAGATTATAGTCCATCTGAATATGTACCATAAGTATGTTTGAAGTTGTGCATGCTTTTATTAATAGTCATTCTTTGCCTCACTGGTCCCAAGGGGGTAAGAGTCAGGAAAAGAGGGACAGAAGTAATAGGGGTGAGTTTTATGAAGACAAGAACCCCACTTAAATGAAGGAATCACATGAAACTGGAAATCAGTGACTTGCTATTTAGAAATAAAACAGAAGTTCTCCTGTTTTCAGGCTTCAAAACTTCTATGCTCAAATAGCCCCATTAACATGGGATCATCAGACAACACCCCAAAGCATGAAGAGAAACAAATCAGTTCAAGTATTCTGTTTAGACATAGCTGATGCCTAGACAGCAAGCCATGGCAGCAAACCATGTGAAGGGCTGAAAAGCTTCTTAGGAAGGAGGAGGCTCCATCTCAGCTTATCCAGGCAAGAAACATAAAGAAACAAACATGCAATCAATCAGAAAAAACAAAACAACAAAATACAAATGAAATAACAAATACCAAATTAATTTTCTACTGCTTTTCCTCCTGAGATGATTGCAGCATCCTAAGATGGGTTTTGAGCTTTATCAACCAAAGCAAGAGAATCCTAGTGTGAAATGAACTTTGGGAGGTTATTCTCTGTCTTCAGAAAAGCTTTCATTCTAAGTAACCCTGAAAAATAACTCACTATTTTTCTCTTTGTACAAACCCTCTATAAACTCCCCCCACTCGCCCACACACAGGATAGTTGTTACCTCTTATGGATGTTTTTCCCAAACTGCGGGCCCCAGATGTCTGGTTTAAGTGACGGGCCTGAGTAACTAAGGAGTCCAAACATCCACTGGAAAATCAGACTTCTCATACTAACATTATTGGCTGTAATAGATTTGTGCTTATTAAATGTGTCAAACATGCTAAAATACTTAAATTGGTGCTATCTAATTCTCAAAACCCCATGAAACAGGGTATGTTTGTCTCTCCTCATAGATACACAGGTTTGCTTTCTGCAGTTTCAGTTACTTGTGGTCAACTGCTGGAAAATTAACATTTTAAACTTAATAAGCAATTCATAAGTTTTAAGTGACTTTTTAAATAGTATATTGTTATAATTTCTCTATTTAATTGTTGTGTTAATCTCTTACTGGGCCTAATCTATAAATTTGACTTTATCATAGGTATGAATATATAGAAGAAAATAGTACATATAGGGTTCAGTATCTTTGGAGGTTTCAGGCATCTGAGGGATATTTTGAAATATATCCCCCACAGATAAGGAGGGAACCACTGTACCATGATTATTAATTCCCACTTGTAAAATGGGGAAGATGAAGAAGACAGGGAAAGCTAGCTTTCTGATCTCCCCCTGAGCAGTATGGTCTAGAAAGGCCAGGAAAACTGCTGCTTCCATTATTGCTGTGTTCCTGAGGCATTAGATTGAGGTCTTGGATTTGTCTAATATCTTGCCTGATGAAGAGATATGGAACCTTGCATAGGTCATGGGTGCTTTACATTATGACTTAGCTAAAATCTGAATGTCATCCAGAGAAACCCATATGTTTTGCAGCAAACTTTCCATTATCTCTAAAAGGAAAACCCAGGACATAAAACATGGTTGTACAGGAGGGCACCAAAACCCCACCAGCTGGTCAGCCATCACAAAAGCTAAGGGCAGTTCAGATCTCTCACCCAGGAGAGTCAAACTTCTCTTCTAGCCAACTTGAAAGAAAAACAGGCACATGGAAATGTGGAGGGACTCACCGAGAGTGGCAGTGGGCTGCTGTCAGCACCCATTGTGGATGGATCAGAACTCCTCCACAAGTATGGTAGCCGTTGTACTGGATGGAGGCCATAAAGGGCCTGGAATGAGGTGGTACTTCCTGTCCTCCAATAATTTCCATACTGAAATCTGCAAAAGCAAAACAAAAGATTTCACAAAAAAGATCCAAGCATTTACATATAATTCTTCTGATTACAATCACTACATTTTCAAAGTTTAAAAGATAGCAATTTTACCTAGTAGTTATTGTGATTTTACTGATATACAATAGTATAAAACATAAGATGGTGTGGGGGGGAAAGAATTGTGAAACTCTGTTTATCTATAATGTAACAATATAATTGCTAGAAATTCACTCAATGTTTGCATGTGGTAGGAATAGGAGATACTTACACTCTGGAATCAGGTGAGCCCCAGCTACTAAGAAAAACAGAGACAAAGAAAACCTAGTCATTTTAATGCCCTGTATTTGAGAAGCCTAGATGAAATACTTCCTTCCAGTTGGTGAACAAAGAAGGTTCTGAAGACTGAATTTTGTTCTTGCAAGTTTTAATTTTCTCACCACAGAGCTCTAGAAGTAAGATGTTTCACACCTAAATATTAAAAGTGTCATTTCAGTTTGTGGAGTTTCAGGCTTGCACTTTTAGTGCTTTGGGGGAGGGATATGTGTGCTACTATGATAATGAACTCATTTCTAGAGGTAACCATTTCCAGTATCTGGATAAGAGACCTCATGTTATAAATGGTGAAAGAATAAAAAATATCCAAGCCATAAGAACCTAATAAAATTGCAGGCAGACTTTGAAGATGATCATTGTTCTAAAGCAATACTTAGGCACCATTTTATGCCAGGAAAAAATAGTAAGTATTACTATTACTATTAAATGGTGCCTATCACATTTAATAAGTATTTTTCATGTGGACATAGGTTTTTGATGAAGAGACATAGAACCTTGTGTAGGTCATGGTCACTTTACAATGTGACTTAGCTAACGTCTGAATGTCATCCAGAGCAACCCATATGTTTTGCAGCAAACTTATTCCTAGTCCTGCCTTTTCTTCTTAATATGACCAAATTTGGTTGAATTTTTAGTTACATTTTTTGGAGATTTAATAATATTATTAAAGGGGAAACATTGGCAACATTATTTATTTATTTATTTATTTTTTTAAAAATTCAGAGTCTTTCTTTTACTCATTTTAACTGAAAATGACCATGTGCCTCTCCAGGGCCTTAAGAATAATATATTTCAAAAATTGAGGAACTGCATTTCATCCTTCTCCCTAAAAATAGACAACAATGCACTGCCAGGTCATTAAATGAGAGCTCTCCTTCACTACAAAAGTATCTAAAGACTTAGGGTTCTACATTGTTCTGTTCACATGAGGTACTGATCCACAGACAGTATAAAATGAATATACTTGAATAAATCTGGCACCAGAACCCCGATACTTTATAGAAACACTGACCAAAATTTTCACAGAATTAACAGTCTTTCTTTCTTTTTTTTAAAAGATATATGCAATCTATCTTCTATTCTTATTTCATAAAGAATTAAAATCCAGAGTTGTTAAGCTTGGCAGGTCGTAAGGGACTCCTACCAAATTGTTGTTTCCTTGGACAAGAAAGCAGGAATAATATTAAATAACATCATATTGTATATTATACATTTTATATAAGTAAAATGCTTTCAGTTACTTCAAAAAATTCTATTTACATGATCACTATATCTTCATGTCTATGTCTGTGAGGAAGGCAGGACAATGATTATATTTACGTTATAACTGAAGAAATAAGCTGGGAGAGGCTAATTTGTCCAAGGGTACATAGTGTATGATCTGGAACAAATGCCTTGCCTGACCTGGAGAAACTCATATGTTAATAAGTGCACTTCCAGAGCCCAGAATTTGATAAGCAGCTTGTTTTTGTTTTATAAGTATGCAGCCACGGCAAAGCTTTCTGAATATTAAAAGGAATGAACAAAACCAAAACAGATCAGTGACTTCCTGCCAGAAAGAGCAAAAGGTGAGACAAGGAGGAGTCAGCTTAAGGAAAGCCACAGACACAATAAACCAAACTTCTTGGTTCTGCCAAATGTGCCATTGAATTTTCAAGTCATCTCTATCACAGTTGATGTGTCCTGGATGGATCCCTCTTGTGCATCTTTTCAAGTTGTCAAGTGCATGTGATGATACTAGCTCCTTTATAATCCCAGTGATTATGTTGGGAGCATAAAGACGGTGTGTGACATGCATAAGTGATTTGAACTATAGGGAAGAAATAAACTGTGGAAAAGACAAAGCTTTATGGTAGGGGCATGGTTAAAAACATCTCTCAGCTGCTTGTTTCTCCATAGTAAGCACTAACATCCCCATAGCCTTTTACAAATTCCTAAACATTTGCACCTGTATTTCCAGGGAGATAGCTGTCATTACTTTTGTTTTTTGGATAGAGAAACGGAAGCTCAGAGACTGGTTTAAGATTACTGGGCTAGCAGGTGGCCTTGAAACCCTCATGTGTTGGCTTCAGGCTTCATGTTTCTTTCAACCTGAACACATGCCTGCCCTGCTCTGAGAAGACCCCAGGGCTTAGATGCTCCAGCAGACAAGCTGGCTGTGCAGAAGGGAAAAAGGATTTAGCCTGCACCCTGCAATTAGACATGGGTGAGATTTAGTTCAATTGAAAAGATAGTCTCATAACTCTTGTAGCTGACCTGGAAAATTCTGAGAATCATGTTGGTTTATAGTAATGAGTTATTTGGTTTTGGCTTTAGACCAATGTGTTAGTTAATAGCATCGTTTGTTATTGTATTCAAGATCCTGGATTTGAAGACAGTGGGCTGTGTAACATGATGAGCTCCGCAATCTAATTTATATCTGGGTGTTGTTTTTTGTTCTGTTGAGTCTGCTGTGGGGAGAGCCGTGTTTGCTTTGGATGGTTTTTGCAGCAGCTGGGCCGGGCTGAGCAAGTGCAAGGCTGCTCATGCCTCCTGGGTACCCTTGCGGGGTTCTCCTTTGCAATGTGTTAACTGCTCTTAGAGATGTTGTTTTTGACCCTCCTGCTTTTCAGAAGACCCTTATAGACCCGCTGTCACAAAGCTCTGAAGGTCACCTAGGGATTCCTTGGGGCTACCTTTCTTTAACAACTCAGACACCTGTTTCATCAGATTCATAAGCCACGCTCTCCAGCTTGGCCTGCAGACCTTACAAGCCTGAGAATCCTGTGAGCAGGGATGCCTGCAAAGGGAAGGTTTTGGCCCTGACCTCTCTCCCAAACTTTGGCTTCTTGGGACAATGGCCTTGCAGAGAGGAAGGAGGGGATGATATGAACCTACTGGTGTTTTAGGGAGGAAATGGGTCAATATGTAGGCCAAGTTAAGGGGAAAACGACAAGAGAAGGACAAGGGAATAAAAGCCAGAAGACAGGTGGAGGCAAGAAGGGAAGGGAAAGAAATATTGCCGAGGAAAGAAGGACACATTTGAGAATGGGAAGCCTTATAATGGACAATTTCTATTTATATTTGAGCTTCTCAGATATTGTGATGTGTCCATGCCAAACATGATGTTGTCTCTTTATAATAGAAACAGGTCGTTGAAAGGAACATGTTGATCGTGTTGAAAGCAGTGGAATTTTAAACTAATCAGAATGGTTCATAAAATGAAGTCACATCAGGCAAAATAGTAAGTATTTTGAAGGGGATAATCAAAGGCACCAGTGAGGGAAACAGTAATTGCTATGGCCACTCTAGAACTCATATTATTGATTAGTTGATTTGGTATTTCATAATTTTTCATTGAGAATGAATTAAAGTAGAAACTGACATGCAGTTTGAAATATGACAAGTACACACAAACATACATGAGTGTGTATGTTCACTCCACATCCCCACCTGACCTCTAAGTCCTTATCCTACTTTTTATCACAAATATCAGACATTCTTCATCTTTCCTGAGCCAACACTGTCTCTCAATCCACTATATTCTACCATCTATTTACTTTTTCCTCATCTTATCATCAAAATTCTGTCTTTTAATCTAACTGCTGATTCAGCTGGAACAAATGTTTTCTATAAGGAAACAAACTCATGATAAATATTAAATGAAATGGTTAATTAAAAATGTTTAAGAGGGAAGGAATAAAGGAAACCATTAATAAGTTAGACCATATAAAACTTTAAAACCTCTGTAAGAGAAAAAAAAAACACTATAAGCAATACCTAAAAACATCATAAAATGTTTGTCATTTGTATTGAAATATTTTCCCTTAAAGGTAATACCTTTAATATATATAGAGCCCTTATAAATCAATTGAAAAAGATGAGAGTATAAGTGGGTGAAATGTAGGTAAATTGATATAAATACAAATGGAATATTTTAGTTAACTTTCCTCATTAGAGACTTAACTTATATATAATATTAAAAATAATTTGGTGATTATATCATAAAAAAGAAAGCACATTTCACATTTTTGCAAGGCTTAATAAGTATTAAGTTTGATACATGAAGGATACAACTATCATGGCAAGTACTGATAAGAAGACCAAAGGCTGAGAAGAGATCTATCAACAAAAGCATAATCTACTAAATTCTCACTGTTGATTGACGAGTCTGTTGATGGGTTGTGACAACAATCATCCTGCTGTTTCTTTTAGATCCTGAACTAAGCCCTCTTTCCTATGACAACCTCCTTAAATTACCTCTTCAAAATCCAGAGTGCAAACTTTCTGTTCTCACCTGAATTTCAAATAACTGTTTCCCTTGTGGTTTTGCCAAGTCTAAGAACTCTCTTCTGGACACATATAACCTCTTTTCAGTTTGCATAAATAATCAGGTTAACAAGGTCCACATGCCAACTTCAGGTTTCCCTGCCCTCTTAACCTTTTACCACGGAACTGCCAAAACTTGTATTACTCTTATAATTTCTTTCTCAGATTCTAGTTTAGAGTATTTCTGGAGAAAACCACAGCACCTAGAGGGCTAGCCACTAGCTTGAGAGCAGGGAGTTCATTTTGCTTTCAAAATTCTTTTGCTCGTTTTTTGTTCATTATCTACATCACTAGCCACAATAACCCTCTCAGACATCCTTCATCTTTCCTGAGCCAACACTGTCTCTCACTCCACTATATTCTACCATCTATTTACTTTTTCCTCATCTTATCATCAAAATTCTGTCTTTTTATCTAACTGCTGATCTTTTTTTCTGGTCAATAAGGAATATATCCATAAAGGAAAGTCTTAGAAGCTCTTCCACCAGTCTGCCCATCTATCCATTTATTTATGCATCTCTATGGTAATTTCAAATAGCACATACAAGATTTAATTTTGCAAGCATATAGACTTACCTATTCATGCAAGATATTGAAAACTTAAACATGTTTGCTCCTTGACTTATGGTTCCCTTTTCTTTCTTTCTTTTTGTTTTTTTTTAGAGAGAGAGAGAGAGAGGGAATTTTAATATTTATTTTTTAGTTTTCAGCGGACATAACATCTTTGTTTGTATGTGGTGCTGAGGATCGAACCCGGGCTGCACGCATGCCAGGCGAGCGCGCTACCACTTG